ATAATGGTTCGACTCTTAGCAAATGTATATTAAAATAATCTTATTTATTTACTTAATAAAAACTTTGTTATTAAAAACGATATAACTAATGCGATATATAATATAATGGACTCCATATTACAGAACCTGAAAATTTAACGTTTGTTTCCAAACGTTATCTAAATTGCCTATCAATAATAAATATAACCTATTATCCCCGTAAACTGTGTAGTGGCGGTGTAAAATATCCACCACTACAAATCATCCCGATGATGTCGTAAGAGGCGACAGAGAAAAAATGAAACAGAAGGCAGCAGCATCATCCTAATAACAACTCAAAATAATAAAAAACTGCGGTTGCCAACCCTCTTATCAAGCGAAACCTATGAGGGCCGCCTATGTTCAACAATGAAATTTTACAGGCTGTAATGGATGTAAATTGGTGGTAAGTTGCAACGAAGACTAGCCATCTGTACAGTATAGTTAAAATAGTGCTCGATAGGCTGCGCGAGTACAGGTGCACTTTGGAGGGAGGACAAGCGTAGGACCAATGGCGTTACGTGCTTTTTGAAGGGGTTGAAATATCGACCAATTCCTGACTCTAGGCAGCTACCGCAAATTTCTTGACAGAAATATCCAAAAACTGATTAATTAAAAACTGGCTAGACTTGAGATTCAAATCCGCGACCACACGGACAACAGTCTCAGTTATAATACATAAACACTCACGCCTGTCACCCAGAGGGGTAGGCAGAGACTACAGACTTCCATTTGGCACGATCCTGACACACCTCTCTCGCCTCCTTCACATCCATACACCTACGCATGCATGCTCGTCGGTTAAGGGTACTCCTAATTTGGCCCGTTTTCAATAAATCGCCAATTTGGTCGATAAATTTTCGCCTAGGACGTCCCTTTCCGACTCTGCCATTCACTTCTGCAACATAAATTTTCTTTGTCACTCTTTCCTCATCCATTCTTTCCACATGACCAAACCACCGAAGCATTCCTTTCTTAATCCTGGTCACAACATCATCTTGCAAACCACACTCTTCTCTTATCACACAATTTTTCACCCTGTCATTCAGATTCAGCCCTAACATACTCCTTAACGACCGCATTTCTACTGCATTTATTCTACTCTCGTGCTTCTTCTGCCATACCCAACTTTCACTACCATACGTTAAAGTAGGGACCAACACAGCATTGTGAATTGCCATACGTGCCTTTTTTTGACACATTTTGACTCTTCACAATAGAGTGCAGGGCTCCATTTACTCTGTTTCCTGCGTTCACTCGTCGTTCTATATCCTTATCATATCTCCCATCCCTGCTAAATACGCAACCCAAATATACAAACTCATCTACTTGCTCGATCAACTCCCCTTCTATTCTTATTTCACATATCGTTTTACTTTCATCTCTTTCAAAAAAACACCACCATCCTTCACAGTTAGCTACCGTGGGTAAATCTTTGTTTCAGAGAGCACGAGGGATCTGTGACAGTAAACACCTGGCTGCCGAGCTCCAACATGTCAAGCAAGTTTTGCATGACAACAAGCTTCGGGTCCCGCGCCTACGTCACAGAGAACGAGTGAAGCCGGCCACAGTCGAGCGTGTACCTGCTGTACTGCCGTATGTTAGAGGAGTCACTGACAAGATTGGCTACATCTTGAAGCGCGCTTCCATCAAAACATACTTCAAGCCGCCGAAGAAGATTGGTCAGTTTTTACCATCAGTCAAGTGTAACGTCCCTCTGCAAGATGCAGGAGTGTACAAGCTTGATTGTGAATGTGGTCTCTCCTACATAGGACAAACTAAAAGATCAATTAAAACCCGCGTCAAAGAACATATAGCTGATGTGAAGAATCGACGCTCCGGGAAGTCTGCAGTCTGTGAACATGTACAGGATCGCCCCCGTCACTACATCAGATTTGATAGACCACAAATCCTCGCTAAAGAACACCGATTCCTTCCAAGGATGATTCGCGAGGCTAAAAAATCCCAACCCAAGCATACAACTGCAATACTCCATGATACCATAAGTTCATACTGTGTAGATCGGAACAAAAGTTAAATCTTAATCTATGGTAACCGCGGTTAACTATGACAGCTGGACGTTGAACATCTCAGTCCTTCCCGTGACCATGGGTGCTGTAAAGCTCTCGAAACGTCGGGTAAAAAAGTTAAATATACGCGATAAATTCCGTAAAAATTAGTATTATTTCAATGTGTAGTGTTCGCGTAAATATAAGAAGTCTCAGTTATGACTAGTCCAAAGAGTTAAGTTGTCAGTTAATTATTCAGATGTTTTAATATTTATATTATTATATTAATTAAATACAATAAAAAGCTGCGAAAATTAACTTACAAAAAGGGTACATTGAATATTATTACCACTTAACTGCCGTCAGTCACTTTTTTAAATGCAATACAAAGTGACTGACACTGCAGCCAAAGGATTAATTACCCGTTCAACGATTTATTATAAAATTTATGTAAAGCTTCTTATACAGGTATAGGTTATAGGTTATATAAAGGTACCTTGAAAATCACCAGCTGATTAGTGACCGCCAATACGGTTTTCGCCGTGGTAGGTCAGCTGGTGATCTTCTGGTCTACCTAACTCACAGATGGGCGGAGGCAATAGAGTTCAAGGGGGAGGCATTGGCCGTTAGTTTGGACATTGCGAAGGCCTTCGATCGGGTTTGGCACAAAGCGCTTCTTTCGAAGCTCCCTTCCTATAGGCTTCCCGAGAAATTGTGCGATTGGATCACCAGCTTTCTTGCAGATCGGAGCATCAAGGTCGTTGTAGACGGTGCAAGCTCCGATTGCAAGCCTATTAATGCTGGTGTTCCACAGGGCTGCGTGCTATCGCCAACGCTGTTTCTTCTGCATATCAATGACATGTTGCATACCCGTAACATTCATTGCTATGCAGATGACAGCACTGGTGATGCTCTTTACACCGGCCGAGCCAATATTTCTCGGGAATACGTCTCCGAGTGCCGGGAGAAACTTGTGTCTGAAGTCGAGTCTCTGCTGGACAGAGTCTCGGATTGGGGGCGACTAAATCTAGTCCAGTTTAACCCCCAGAAGACACAAGTTTGCGCGTTAACCGCTAAAAAGAACCCCTTTGTCGTATCCCCTCAGTTTCAAGGCACTCCCCTTGTTGCCTCAGCCAGTATCGCAATCCTCGGCGTCGACATATCGAGTGACGTGCAGTTTCGTGGTCACTTGGAAGGGAAGGCCAAATTGGCCTCTAAAAGGCTTGGCTTGGCTTGGCTTGGCTTGGAGCGGGACAGTATTTCATGCCGGCACACCGCCTGCAACTTTATAAGGCGCAGGTTCGGCCGCACATGGAATACTGTTCCCATCTCTGGGCTGGGGCTCCCCGGTACCAGCTTCTTCCACTTGACCGCATCCAGCGTAGAGCGGCTCGAATCGTCGACGACCGAGTGCTTTCCGATCGGCTCGATTCACTGGCGCTGCGAAGAGATGTTGCATCTCTTTGCGTATTTTATCGCATCTATCACGGGGAGTGCTCTGAGGAATTGTTCGGATTAATCCCAGCCGCCAAATTTCGTGAACGCACTACACGTCAAACGTCCCGATACCATCCACATCATCTGGATGCTTGGCGGTCCATCACTGTACGTTTCACAAGGAGTTTTCTTCCACGTACAACCTCTCTGTGGAATAGTTTACCACCGGCGATTTTTCCGGACCGATACGACCTGGGGACCTTCAAGAAAAGAGCTTACTCCTTTCTAAAGGGCCGGCAACGCACCCGCAATTCTCCTGGTGTTGCGGTTGATCATGGGCGGCGGTAGTCACTTAACATCAGGTGAGCCGCATGCTCGTTTGCCCCTTCTTCTATAAAAAAAAAAAAAAATATGAGCTAGAAAGTGTAATTAACAAACTGAAACAGGATAAAAAATATTAAGATTATAAACAACACAAAATCTCCAAGTATTTTCCATGACGTTATAAAAATAATCGCAGAACAAAAGTGGGCAAAAGAGGTTTACCCAACTGCTGTCGCTGAAAATAATAAAAGACGAGGCAATATCGTGAGAAATTAAAATGAGCTAAAAGCGTGGTCAGTGCAAACATGTTAGAGGGGATTGGGTGGTGGGTGGCACCGATCTTATTTTCCAATGTCGGATCAATAAATGAAAGTGGAAGACAGGATGTAACCGGACGTTGAAGCGGAAAAAATATGCCTTAATTAAGACCCGTTACTTTGAGGACCGCTGAAATGTTTATACTTGTGGTGAAGATATTGAAGTGTGTAAGAAAGGTTGTAATAGTTCAAGATCAAAGGGAATTAATTGTAATTTGTTAATTTGCTGTTAATTAATTTGTTGGTTTAATTAATAACTTAATTTATTATAATGTAATAAGACAACTATCTAATATAAACTGTCTTATAGTTTTGGTAACTTTTTCGTTATAGAAAAAGAGTGACAATCGGGAACACGTACCACCTGATGGTAAATAGATGTTACGGCCTAACGACGTCTACATGTATCTTCAATTAAAAATCAAAATGCAGATGCGTTGTCACTTCTGAGGACTAAGATGGAATATCTCGATCCCATTAACGGGCCTCGCTGTCATGATTGTCCAAAAACTTCTAGACATCTAAGTAAACTTAGTTTACGAAAAACAAATTGCAATTTCTTTCTTAAGGGGCTTAAAATCATCTTAAAAATTATGTATTGCTATTATAGAACATTTAGTTTTGTGTTAATTGATTTTAAATTATATTTTGTTAAATTTGTAAAGTCGTAAATTTTGTATAGGTAACAATAAGCCTGCCCATATTATACGGAAGGTGATATCAACAGAATACCCCTATTTAATTGTAAACATTTATTGTGTTTTTTTTTTTTGCAAAAAACATTAAAAGTATATAAAACTGTACATATTATGTATTCTGCCGTAGACGTTATATCTTTTCTAATTTTGTATTATTTAAAAATATAGATTAAATTAAATTAAGCGTTCTTTTTTAGGTATCCAAGTCGTCTTCGCAACAAGTAGTGCTACGTGAAGCGACACGTGCTTTAGCCGGCCGCTACCGTTGTGAAGTATCCGCGGACGCCCCGTCGTTCCACACTCAAGTTCGATCCGCCTATATTCACGTTGTAGGTGAGTGTTATGGTTAATAATAATATGAATTTTTCACTTTTAAAAATGTGAGTTTTTTTACTGTAAATTGTGTATGTAAAATTATGCTCAATACCAAAAGGCGATAGTTGAAATGATCCTAACAATTTTTTTATCCAATATTTTACTAAAATAATATGCACATAAATATTGCTAATAGTTATATTTTATGCAATTCTTGCCAATACAAAAAGCAGTATCTGTTAAACAAATGAATAATAAAACCTCTCACTTTTGTCTGCAAATAAAACTATCCATATAAAATTGTGAACGTTTCTCTATTTCGGATCAATCTACAAAAACGTTGGACATATCGACGATATCCGCTATGTCCATGAGACCGGGAGCTATTTGCATAGCCGAATAGGGTCCATCGATCGCAACATCCCGCTGTCTCATCACTAAGTTACCCACACAAGCTAAACGCCCTATAAAGTCTATGAGTCTGTTAAATATACTCTTTTTGTCCTTTACCGTTATTGAACGAGGCAAATTTTGTTACAAATCTTAATAATTTAGGCTAACTTCATTTAAATTTAATTTGAAGGCAAGGAATTAGGACTACGTAAAACAAAAATAATGAAATGTATAAAACAGTGTTATTTTATGTTAAAGGTATGAACCGAAATACTCAAAACTGATTGGTGAGTTTGTGGTTCCATTGGATTATGAGAGTGAGGGCATAGAGCGTGCACTTCTGCTTGCGCACTATAATCCATCCTGCACAGATCTAATCGTTTATCGAAAATGTTGTGTCTGGTCTACAGGGATTATTTATTAAAGGGTGATACGTGTGCCAATATGATGACTTACTTGCATAAAAATATTTGTCTTTTGGAAGCTTTTAATAATAAAAGATAATTGTGGATATTATTATCTTTTATTACCAAAAGCTTCCAAAATACAAACAAAAAAACAAGAAAAAGTTGCCGTCTTCATGTCTACTTATTTTAGTTGTCTAAAGAGTCTAAACATAATTTTTCCAATAATTTATTAAAAAATGTTTGAAAATAAATCCTGTAAACATCCTTTGTGTTGTAATAAAACCATAATTTGTCTATTTCCAACGCATGACGGTCACAAACCACTGTAAATTCCAAACAGAGCAGTTATACTTTGTAAAGTTTCTTAATGTTTGACAGCTGCATGAAGTAGTTGTATTCGCTAATGAGAAGTAAATATGAAACGAAAGAAAAGAAAATTTCAGGAGCTTACGGCAAATACTCCAGTATATGAATGGGCATGAAATTATGTAGCAATGTTTGAATACATGTAAGCGTGTAGTAGGTAACAAGAGCTGCCTATGTCAATAGGCGGCCCTCATACAAGAGGCGGAAAATTTGTCTCACTCAAACGATAATTGCAAACGTACGAGACAACTGTGATTAGGCCTTTGTTTCTAACTCAGTAGTTTTCAGCTGTCGGAAACACACTATTTCAAATTCATTTAAATAATCGCAAATTTGCACATTTATTTATTTATTTATTCATATATCTGCTTTTACATTTAGTATAACACTACTTAATTTTCGCTTAATACGCTTGTGTTGGGACTGTTTCACGACAGTAATCAAATGGCGGATTTGAACCAACGTCTTTTTGAGTTTGCAGTCCACATCCATAGTTATTATTTTAGTCAATATTTACTTCTTATTATTTCTTTAATTATTATTGACGTATATATAATACAGTTAGAAGGGCCTTGAGTTTTTATTACTCACCATACAAAACACAGCAGCATTATGCTGCTATTTCACCCTGGTGATCTTTGCGAGCGAGGTTTTTCCCGGTGAAGCCGACTTATTCATGCTGCAGCTATGATACGCTACCGCGTGGCTACACTACGTATTAAACTCTATAACGAGTATATTCACAACTGACAAGAACTATTTGAGCCTAACAGAGAAGTACGTTAAAGTGATTCCATCTTAGTCCTCGAGGCGACAAACATCTGTAGTCTTTTCATTAAAGTTTGCTGCAGGTTTATATCGATTGCAGCAGCTACTTATCACCAAGTGACACTTTAAATTCAATCGTCACTTTACTTTTATTAAAAAAAAAAGCTGATAACGAAGAAAAGTTTTTTAGTGGCAGCATGTAAAAGTTTTTGACAGGCAAACGTTATCCTGGCCGTTTCTCATTATATGGGGTATCGATCAAATGAAATTTGAAGAGATACGATTAATTTAGGTAACCCAGGATCACGTTTTTAATTATTTTAGAGACTAAAACGGTTATAATAACGCTCATTATCAAATATAAGCCTATTTAATACGCCTTTAATTATTGGTTAAACGAACTTACCTTAAGTGAAGTTCAACCATAATTATACGAAGCTCCATGCCCGAGACATTCTTAACAACTTGTAGTACGCCGTATTTCATACCAGCACCACAATTTATCCAAGCTCCTTAAAGAAATTTGAAAGGGCAGAACATTTGGCAACACTATATCAACACGTCCGTTAAATGCAATGTAATTATGTTTAAAGCAATGAATTGGATAAGCAACCCTAAACCAGGGAGGGTTGAGCTAGGAGTACCATCTCGGACAAACAGCTTCATATAATTATAATTGAACTTCACTTAAGGCAAGTTATAATATTTAATTACACTCTCTTCTTGTCCGAGACATTCTTCACAACTTGTAAATGTTTGAAAACAGGGTTGCGAATTATAATTTCAATAAGTGGAAAAATTTGCAATGTTCCTTATTTAAAAAAAAATTGATGATATTGTATATATATTACATATTTTAGTTAATAACATAAAATAAATTATTCTTATTTTATGACTTTTCTTTATACACATAAGGGCAGCTTGACTGCAGCAGAAGCGGTCCTGTAGAAGAACTAAGACTGAAAAAAAATTGGATTATCTATTCCAGTTTAATTGTAACAAATTCTTATTTAACATCTTATAACTTGAAAAAATGGGTTCTTGTGAGTTAATATAAAATTTACCACTATCTTGTACTCGTTTTCTATTAAAACATTCACAGGAAAGACTTAAGCCCCACTCATTTTTTCCCATGCAAACCCTGGTGAAGAGAAATTCTTCCACATATATTGTAACTATACGTCTGAGCTTTACTTGGAATAAATGTAATATTAATTGAAAAACAATGGTTAGTAAATTTTGTAATCTGTGACTCATCACAGCTAAGCTTGTTACTAGTTTTTGTAAATTTCATTAATCTCAAATCCTTATTGCAATATTTTTATGTAAAATAATCTAAAACAAACTTATTATTTAATCTATTTTTATAACTCAACCTAAGTAAAAGCACAAAGCCCAGTAAGGGATGACATTTTAATTACTGCATATTTAATACTATATAGAAATAACAATTTTATCTTAATATATATAAATTACGTGTCACGTTGTTTGTCCGCGATGAACTCCTAAACTACTTAACCGATTTTAATCAAATTTGCACTCCGTGTGCAGTTTGGTCCAACTTGAAAGATAGGATAGTTTATTGCCCACAATTTTTTTTGCGATTTTAAGGATTTTTAATAGGACATGACAAATTGTCGTCGAAAAGGGCAGAACAACGTCTGCCTGGCAAGCTAGTTATCTTATAATTTATAGTATTTGACAAAGGAGAGTTCACTATAAAATTTAAGTACGAACTTTGGAGTGACATATTTTTACGAAATCCTTCACTAATAGTAAACTATGTTTCTGAGTTGCCTACAAAATGATAGTAACATATGAAATTAGTTGTAGTGTATGATTCTCTGTAAGGCGGTGTTAATAACTTGTTATTTTATTTAAAATGAATAATTAAAATCTTTAATTAAACATTCCTTTGCATTTTGATTAAATTTACCGCCAATGTTCACAAAACAAAAACCTATGGTTCTATAAACTCAATTTATTGACAGCATAAAAATTAGTGGAAATACGTGGAAGAAGAATTGTTCCCAATCCAATATATCTGCCATGGCTTCAGGGTAATGCCTACAAAAAACCATTGATCTGTATATCGAAGTAATATTATTTCTCGATACTAATTGATTAATTTTTAGTTTTTAACACTGCTTTATGATCTTGTTTAATACACTTGAAGACTTCCCATGACGATCCTTTGTTTACTTGGCTCATTTTTAGATTGAATATAATTTACAATATTTTTAATTTAATTGAAGGAATTGAATCCTCAATAATTAAGGAATAGGACCCTCTCTATTTTGTTAATGTGTGCAGTGGTCTTATTAACTTTGAATAAAATAGTTCGCCATAAGTATTATTTAGCTATAGTAAATATTTTTCTTGATTCCAATATTATTTTGCTGAAAAGTTTTTGTATGGTGTTCTACAATTGTTAAAATTATAAACATATACTACTTTCATATCCAATAGTAAATATGTAATTTTGTCACAATGAAGAACTAAGTTCCAAAAAATTGTTTCAGTTCCATTGGCCTCTCTCCCGACACAAAAAATTCAAATAATACCAGTTTTTACGGATTTTGTCGCGTATATTAACTTTTTTATATACCCAACGTTTCGAGCACTTTACAGCACCCATGGTCACGGGGAGACTGAGATGTTCAACGCTCATATGTCATAGTCAACCGCAGTTACCACAAAATAAAATTGCATACATAATACATAAACACTCACGCCTGTCACCCAGAGGGGTAGGCAGATACTACAGACTTCCATTTGGCACGATCCTGACACACCTCTCTCGCCTCCTTCACATCCATACACCTACGCATACATGCTCGTCGGTTAAGGGTACTCCTAATTTGGCCCGTTTTCAATAAATCGCCAATTTGATCGATAAATTTTCGCCTAGGACGTCCCTTTCTGACTCTGCCATTCCCTTCTGCAACATAAATTTTCTTTGTCACTCTTTCCTCATTCATTCTTTCCACATGACCAAACCACCGAAGCATTCCTTTCTTAATCCTGGTCACAACATCAAACCACACTCTTCTCTTATTACACAATTTCTTACCCTGTCATTCAGATTCAGCCCTAACATA